AAAGACCCTCAGAACAAGAAAGGATGGTGGTATGCACACTTTGATGATCCATATATATATATATATATATATATATATATATATATATATATATATATATATATACATATTCAAGATTATTTGATGAATGGAAAGACTAAAGAAGACTAAAATAGAAATCTTTTTTTAACAATAGAAATTATTTTTACTGTCACTTTTCCTCAATTGATTGCATCCTTTCTGAAAAGTATCAATTTATTTTTTTTAAACTTAATAGTTAACATGTATATATAATATTTAATATATTTTAATATTTTAATGTTCATTTTTATTTAATAAATGTTTTCATAGTTTTTATGTAATTAAATTAAACCATTTATTGTCCAAAATCCCATTATGCCTAGGGTGTTTCCACTACACCACAATAACTGTTGCAAGATACAAATGAAAAAAATGTTTCACATGCACAATTGTTTTATTTTGTTGTTTTTTCCTCTCATACCCTCACACACTTTCTGTGACACGCCAGTGCAGCCTTAGCTCTCAGTGGTTTTCAGAGTGAAATAGATTTTTCTCCCTCCATTATCCACCATTTTAATCCCATTTTCATCTCTCTCCAGTCACACAAAGAGAGCTGGGATAGCAGGAGCTCATGGAGTTCTCTGAGCAGGCATGCAATCAGGGTTATGATTAGAATGTCAGAGCGGCTGCGAGCCGACCTGCTGTTCAGTAGTGGACTAGCACACACTGGATCTAAAGCCTGAATTATCGCCAACCTGTCATAAGGCGAGTCCCCAAAAAAAGGCAACCACAAAAAAACCTAAGAGCAGCCCCACCTCACACATTTAGCTAGATCCTAAGAAAATGGGGGTGTTCAGATGTGCTCTTCTTTTCAAATGTGATTTTCAATCACAGTCCAGGGATGCCGAGGTCTGCAAATCTGCCACCTTGAAAAGGCAGAGGGAAATGGATGGAGATCTGTTTGAAAGGGCTGTTCACAAAGCACATGGAGAACTGCTCCATCAAAAGGTGGCACTGCCAAGACCCAGGACAAGCCTCTTGAAGTTAATCTCTAATTAGCTGAATCAGCAATGAAACAAAAGCGAACCAACAATTATTAGTTTAGAGAGTTTGTGGGAATGAAAAGCAAAGTCCAGAGGGAATGATTATACATTGACTTCGGACCCAATGAATCACACATAGTTCAACAGTTCAGAAATGGCAAGACCAAAGATAATTAACCCAAACAAACTATGAATTTTAGAATGAGACAAGGGAGCAAGCACAGGAATGATGAATGAATGAGCATCGAGAGTCTTGCAGCTGTCTGGCTTAAAAAGTGAGTTTCCTTTTTTGGTTGCTTTATAACCAGTTGCTTGCTAACAAACATTCAATCTAGAATATATGTATTGTTCAGGGTGTCATTTATAGCACTGCTAGCTGTGTTTTAAAGATCTGGAAGATGCTTTTACGCAGTTTTTGAGGTCAGAGATCTGTGTAAAGCGAGTCAGACTTTTGTGTCATAAAAGAGATGTAGGATCAGTCCCTGACATTAGCTTATATACTTGAGCAAGACATTTAACCCCACATTTGTTTTAGCTTTTGTGTTAAAGAACCATGTGCTCAAATTCTTCTAGCTGGCTGTGTTTATGGTAAGAATAAATATATGTGAAATATATTTCATATATTGATATATGTCATATAGAAATTAAATGAAATAAAATTAAATAAATAAAATGTTCAATTAAATCTTTTAGACATTAAATAGAACAATGTCAACACAGAATGACTGATTTGCTCAGCTTTCATTACATGAATATGGTCTGCAAAAAATAAAAGCATATATTACAAGGAACTTATCCGAAACCAAACACTATAGCCAAGTCACCTTTATACCTTATAGCACAGATTGTTTCAAATCAGCTTCACAGTGTTAAACAGGAAAGTAGCAGAATCAATGATGCAAACTTCAAAAATTAGGCGAATCCAAATTTTTGCTATATAGTAAGTTTTATATATAATGAAATATTTTATAAATATATTTTATTACATTATAGTAATATAAAGTTCAATATTTTTTTATTTAATAATATTTACATTTATACACAGTATAATTATTTTGTTTCAAAGATGTGTTGAAATCCTGTCAAAAGCAGTTATCAGACCACTTGTCACTTCCGTGCCTAGTGTTTAAAAATATGAGGGCAGTTCTTATGGTTTGGAACACAAAGCTTGGAATGTGCCCTCGCCGAAGGAGAGTACGTGGAAGGAATTCGCCCATCTCTGTCGCATTATGGTATGGGGTAAACACACTTGTCTGCCGCTGGTGGGAAAGCTATGCTTAGCTTGGCGTGGGGCAGGAGGGGGTGCATGGGGTTCTCTTTGAGTTTTTGTATGGGAATGTGTGGTTACTCAGTGAGACTGCTTTGAATGTGAAAGAGCACCCACCACAGAGAGACAGCCCAGGCGGCCGGCCCGAAAAGATGGGTTGGCAGCTGCACGGCACGAAACCAATGTGACTGTGAAGGGGCAGCACGGGGAGCATGCAGTATGTGGTAGAACCCTCCTGGCACCTCACGCCAGCTCTACTTTCCACGCCACTCACTCTCCACCCTGGGACCTCCACCAACAACCCCTCCAGACCCTGGCCCACACCCTCAGTAATCCCTCAGGAAAAAGAGGGCTATGCAGGAGGTCCCCTCTGACAGCCCTGACTCTAACGGTGCTACGTGTCCTTGCCTGTCGTCACTCTATACGTGTACAGCTGAAGGAAGCAATGGGATGGGTAGATGACAGATAAAACAGTTTTTCAGAAAAGCGGCTGGGGGAAACATGATGCTCTACACCACAGGGATTTCTTCTGCTCGTCAAGCTCCATTAGTACCTGATGCAGAGCCTTTTCTCATTTTTGCCTCTCCCAGATCATGTCTGAGCGGGTGAAAGGTTTAGATGTTGAGGTTAAATAGGCATTATTCTCTCTGTCATAAACAAACCTTCTTTCTTTATTTCTTTCTTTAATCAAATTAGATAGATAGATAGATAGATAGATAGATAGATAGATAGATAGATAGATAGATAGATAGATAGATAGATAGATAGATAGATAGATAGATAGATATGCAAAAATTTACCAACAAATTTTAAATGTAAATTAAAAAATTCTAAAATAATGAAAATAAAGAACTTAATGTCATGTTACATGGGTTGTTGAAATGCTATTTCACAATGAAATATCTAACCACTCTGTGCACCTGGCACAAAGTAGACAAGCTGAAGACAGGCCATATGCACTCTGGAAAAACATCCATCTAGCTGAAGACACACAGGAAGTTTTGTAATGAGCTCTGGAGTTGGGCCAAAAAACTTGCTAAGCAACAACGATACTATTTTGTCCAAGTTGTTTTTTGTTTGTGTGTGTGTGTGTGTGTGTGTGTGTGTGTGTGTGTGTGTGTGTGTGTGTGTGTGTGTGTGTGTGCCTGTATACCTTTATTGTATAGAAAGGAGAGGTTTGTGGGGGAGAGAGAAGAGACAGTAAGCCTGCATCCAATCTTTTTTAAAACTTCCTGTGTAAGAGAGAAATGGCAAACAAGTGATGAAAGGAGCTCATTCTCCCAGTGAGAGATCCATAGGAATTCTTCAGGCTCACTTAAGCAGAACCACACACACGCTGTCCATCCGACATGATCAAATTCACAAAGCTTCCAGTTTATCTCGCACCTGAAGCATCTGCTCTGGACACCTCCCATCTTATCTTAAGGTAGTCTGTCATTATGAATCTATGATTACACACAAATGCGATCTGTGGGTGAACACACATTCATTCACACACCAAAACCCACAGACGGCCCACACTTTGCTTAAAAAAGCCCTGATGGTATATGTACAGTTATGTACATATTATAGAGGGTTTTTTTTCTCTCATTCAGAGCTGAAACAAAGATACAAAAGACATCTTTTAGTGTCATCCAGTCTATTGTCTTAATAGTATTTTTCAGTTTTTTATAACCATTTCTTACTATGTGTCAGTAAGTTGTTATTTTAGCATGTGTGTTTGGCTCAGTGTTATTTTTTTAGGATTACTGATAAACTAATGTAGTTTGATTTGTATTAGTTATCTATTTTAGTTTTAGTTACAGTTGTAGTAATGTTGTCATTTTATTAGTTTTTTATTATGTCTATATAGGTTTTTTATTAAGTTTTAGTTTTATATAATTTGAGTTATTTCAGTACTTCAACATACAAAATGGAAATGAAATAATATATATATATATATATTGAATGCATTTATATATATGTACATGTATATGTGTGTGGCTGTACATACACATATGTAGTTGTTTTTTGGTGTTTGGCTTTTAATATTTTGAATTGTTTTTAGCTTTATGTTTTTGTTTTCATTTAAATGTTTAGATTTGAAATGTTGTTGTATGCATTTGTCATTTTTATTTAATTTCTTTTATTTTCTTAAATGTGTATATATTTATATATATACATATATAGTATTTATAGAGTTTTAGCTTTTAGTTTTAATTACTTTTTTTATTTGTAAGTCGCTTTGGATAAAAGCGTCTGCTAAATGACTAAAAGTAAAAGTAAAGTAAGTATTACTGCATTAGAATCATGCATTTACTGGACAACTGTGTGCAAACAGAGGCCTCGATGACTGAACTTTTTTTTTTTGGCTCTTTACATCCATCCATCCTTCATAAACATTATAGTATATTTAATTTGGTAATCTGGGCTTTTTATTGGTCCCTTTCAGGCTTCAAAAGGGATGCAGAAGTGGTTTGTGCAGTTTGTATGCATTATTTCAAGTCTTGTGAAAGACACATGACAAAGCACATGATAACTTTGTGTTGCAAATAGGCCAAAATTTAATTTATTATTCAACGATAATCTTCCCCTCCAGTAAGCTGATAGCTATTGCGACCAGAACGATGATTCAGTGAACTGAGAATGATTCGAATGAATCAAAGATTTTCAGTGAGAAAAATAAATAAATAAATAAATAATTGTGTGGACCTTTTTTATGATGCTTTTTAAGTTTTTTTTCTCTCTCTCTTTCAGTTGAGTTGAAAAGTGTGACCAGATATTCTGCAAATCTTCACCTTTTGTGCTCTAAGAAAGAAAGAAACAACATGAGGGAGAGTAAATTATGGCAATTTGAATTGTGTGAACTATTCATTTCAATGGAGGCTTGCAGTTGTTGAAGTAAATTTCTGTCCGTATTTCCCAGGATATAAGGTCTTGAAATATTTTGGGCTTCCTAAGGAACAAGGCAGCAAATAACCCCTTGGGCCCTATCAGTGAAATCTACACCACAGAATTATTTCACATTCTCTGTCTATGTTTTCAGTGACCACCTGTTCAGCTTTCTGCTGAGGACTGATCTGTGTCCGACTCTATTGTAGTACTCAAATATTCTTTACATTTATTACTGGCCAAGAAACTAAAACCTTTTCCAGTGTCCCCCCATCATTTTCTGGAGCTTTACTATCATCTCACCATGGTTACATGTCTTTCTTCGCCATTTAACCAGACAAGCTGAGCAGAGGAAAAAGTCTTGTTAGATTTCTATATGTCTGCCCGGCTGTCTCGTATAGCACAACATGCTGTCAAAGAGAATTCTGGGAACTCCAGGAGTGTGCTGCTCCTACTACAAAAGGTTTAGATTTACAGGGATTTCTGTAACACTGAAATGTTTATAGAAGGAGGCTTCAGTTTTAAAAGTTTGGTTTGAAAGAAGGTTTCTTACAGCTTGTAGATTCCTCCGAATGTCTATAAATGAAAGCAAGGCTCTTTATTGTACAGCACATCTACATTTTTACTGCAGACTGCATATTGATATGCAAGACACATGCAAGACGTACAGTGTAGAGCCAAAAGGAATGTCCATATAGTGAATGTGTTGGGTTTATATATGCATTCGAAACCCCAATAGGCTGTAAAATAAAGTCTACACTTCTAATAGGATGCAGAAGACCTCTAAAGTGATACAGATGTTCTATGTGCAGCATCACTTCTTTTAGTACTAAATGAATGTGTAGACACTGAATGGATATGGCCACAATGTCTAAGTGGTGAAATACAGGCATCTGTGGGCCAGTCATGTAGAAACAATTGTATCTCCTGCCATCTGAATCAAATTGGCCCTGCTTTCAGTGGGCATCATGCAGTCTTTAGAGTTACACAGGGATGGTAATACAACTTGACTATTATTAATATATCCTAGGCCTCATACATAGACAACTCACCTAAATTATGCTAATAAAGGCAGATTTTGACCTAAAAGGGAATGCAAAACTGAATACCTCCAATGCCTTCTTGAAACAGGCCACTGCTCAAAGGAGGATTATAAAAACATTAGTCACAGAATCCAGATTTCAATGACGCCACATATTTCAAGTCACTGCTGATTACTCTGACACCGTTTGTAGAGGGTTCTGGCTTTCAGGGGTAAAAGGAAGCCACATTGCACTGAGGCACATGGGAACAGGATACTCGGTCTGCCTCCTCCTGCACTTTAGTGAACTGAAAATATTGTATCTGTTTCAAGAATGGATAATTTTTAGACTGTTTAATGTGTTTTGATTTATGGATGACCCATAACAAGTTTCATTTCCACTGGTTAAAGAGATAGTGTACCCCAAAATGAAAATTATGTCATAATTTACTCACCTTCACATCATTCCAAACCTGTATGACTTTATTTCTTCTGCTGAACACAAAATATGATATTTGACTTCCACTTTATGTGCAAAAAAACAAAACAAAACAAAAAAACATTTATCAGAATATAATTTATGCTCCACAGAAGAAAGAAATGTTTGGAACAACACGTGGGGGAGAGTAAATGATGACAACATTTTCATTTTGGGGTGAACTATCCCTTTAAGGGATACACTGCAAAAACCCTACTCTTAATGAGTGCAGTAAGATTTTTCAGTATATTTATATTCTAGAAACACTCTATAAAAAATAAAATAAAATACAATACAATAAAAGTCTTAATATATTTAGCATTTTTGCTTCTAAAGTAAATTTTTATTATTTTGAGGATTCTTTTTTACTGAAGTATAAAAAATTGATTAAAATAATTAAAAAGTAATTAATGTTAAGTAATATGAATATAAGCATTTTTATCAGTCTAGTGTGTTGCATCAGGTTGCTAAAAGTTAAAGTTAAAAAATTGTTCAATATTAATAAAATGTATAAAAAGTTATTAATAAAATAATTGAATGTTCTCTGTAGTAATTTTCAAAAAATACAGTTTGAGATACATCACCAAACGTTTTTTTTCTGATCCGTATGACAGCAATCCCACTTTTCTTCGCCTTGACCGAGATGAAATTCAGTCCCACTGCAGGCGATGAAGGTGATCTGGAGGCCGTCAAACATCTGGAGCTTCTCCCGTTACTTGTGCGGCACTGAAACAAGACCACATTTCAATGAAAGACAGGTGGGTCAGATTCAACTGAGAATTAACATTTTGCACAAATAATATACTGTAAAATTGCTGAACCAGAAGTGTGAAAAAAATCTCATATGTTTGAACAGGTTTGCTTCAAGTTTTCCCACTTTAGAAAAGAACCATGTACAGTTTTAGATATTGCAGCATGTCTTTGAAGCCACCAGGGGGCATTGGTAGATTCTGATTCAGGACTCAAGTACCTTTTGAACATACTCCACTGCCCTGCAACTAACTTTTGTAAGAAAGAAAGAATACAAACATAAGTAACCCTCTTAAAAGATATGGCGCACGTGACGCAACCAGCATGCCCACCCCCATCAAAACATGACGCCCTACCCGTCTCATTATGTCTGATGCAAAAGAGCTTCGGCAGAACAGCAGCCTGTGGGTGTCAGATCAGAGTACCTTAGAGTGATCGCTGGCAATAGCAATAAAAGCTCTGTGGTGGATCTGAAAGACAAGAATGTAAATAAACACACAGACAGCACGGCACTTTAATGGCTTGTCACACTAGTGCACTATCGCACTGCCCAGCAATGTAGCGCTCCCGCCACTGGTTTTATTCAAGAAAGAGGATTAGCCAGTGGCCCACAGAAGCATCGCTTCGGCTTAAACCATTTTGCGTGGACGGGGTGAGAGGCGGTGGGATAATGCCATTTTACATCCCTGTGTTTCAGAAGCTCATGGAACCTTCAGCATGATTTGAGCCTCTCTATCTGGTACTGCAAAGTCCAGAAGAATGACAGTGTGAGAACAAAACGTCATCTATGGACGAGATTTCAGAATACAAGCACCAACTGATCTAAAGGGAACAATATAGACAGAAGCATACAATAATTTGACTTTGGGATTAAAACGGTGTGTGTTCTGTAAGATTGTAGTGATAAATGAACTAAACTTTAAAACATTTCCTAGAGCTGGTATTGTACAAGTTATCTGAACTTGGAATACAACAACAGCCACAAAAGTCAATGGGCCTCATTCATGAAACACGAGCGGAACGAATTTTTGTGTAAATCGTTCGTAAAGCCATTCTGACGTAAACATTCGAATTCATGAAAATGTTCATATTTTCAAAATGTTAGTTGGTAGGAAAGAAATTTACACCTGCTCCCTACCACGTGTAAATGGTGCGTAAAACGTTCTGTGTTCATTTAGGCAAACTGATGACACTGAATTTGATGCACTGCCATTATATTTTACAAGGACGTTGGGCCGGAATTTTATTTTTTATTTTTTTGGTAGCTGAGAGTTGCTAAACTGTTTAGCTTTGGGTAAAACCATAGACTGTATAAAAACATGGACGTAGTGTCCGTGACGTCATCCGTAGATTTCCGAAGAGCGTTTTTGAAGCTTAAAAGTGGGCGGAGGCGGCCGTCGCCATCTTGGCAGCACGGGCAAAGACGCGGGAGCAGGTTGCTGAAGCCACGCCCACCTAGCTCGACGGTGATGACAGCAGCGGCAATCCACCTGTCACTCAAGTGGCCACGCCCTTAATTATGCAGAACTTTAAGGCTTAATATAATTTAAACGGATGAGTTATAAAAAAATTCACCCCCCTCACAGTTGTCATGAAGGGCAAAATTAGCTATATAGACCAAAATCACGGAAACCAAGGTCCGTTTTACACGAGAATTACTCAGAATTTACTCCTATATTTAGGAATGTTTCATGAATGAGGCCCATTGTCTTTTTGCTTGTATGAGTCTGTCTCATGTGTATGTCTATGCGTGTCTGTGTGCGTAAATATACATCCTAGGAGCTTCCCAAGGGTCCTGTGATGGACATCACTCGGGCCTATCACAGGAAACATGTGTTCTCACACCTGCTTGAATGCTTTTTATCTCTTGCAGTTCATATCCATCTCTCCTTGACCTAAAACCTTGCATTTATTACAGCTTTAGATTAAAAAGTAAGGTGCCGGTAAAGTGTCAATATTCACACAAACACAGACCACAAACCACCAGAGACATTAGACATCCAGAAAGGAAATGTATTGATTTTATTGTAGTTGATTTACAGGAAGATAACTACAAAATCAACTAAAATATAGCTATATAAATACACACTGCCATTTAAAAGTTTCATATATTCAAGGGTCATATACTGTATATATATATATATGTATGTCTTGTGGAGTATAAACATCCGCTATGTGAAATAGCTTATTCAAGATGGTAAAAAAATAACATGCAATTTTCATGAAAATTTCATGTTATTTTTATAT